GGGCCGGGGCTGGGCTACGACCCGATCATCTGCAGAGTGACAGTTGAAAGTCTCACCAGTGACCAGAGTGACCACGACGCCTCGATTACTCCGGGTCTTAGCCCACGGGAGAGCTTGCGAAGGGAAGGGCAAGAGCCCATCAGATCATTGTGGGTTACGAGTGCACCTGTCTGTCTGTCTATTCACTATTGAGGATTTACCCGTATTGCAACAATCTAATTCAAACATTTAACATTTCGAGTAACCACTTCTTGTACAGCACAGTATACGCTGTCAATCCAGGAGACTCACCACCTGGCACTGCGCTTCAGAAGACCTGCCTAATTGGGGATAGAGGACTGGCTGTACATCAGATCAGGATTGGATGCGCACAAGGGGAGGGGGGGGGGGAAGGGGGACCGATAGGCATCAAGCATTTTTTTTCTTGTCCTTCTTCTCATATTTGACTCTCTTGGTGTTATTTTTTTCATCTCCCATCTTCTTATCCCATGCTCATCCGGAATTGAACTCCAGACAGCCAAGCGTAAAATGGATAATTAAGTCTCTTGTCGAGCCGGGAGAAAAGAAACTGTCTTAACAATGTCTTCAGTCCTAAGTTCTTTATTGGTTATAGCTACCTTAACTAAAGTCCGTCTCAAGAACCATTCCTACATGGGTTAGTTGAAGGTCATGGTGTAGATAACCGTTTCCCGCCCAACCCCTCATAGACCCATTCCGATTCATGGTTCTGGGATTCGACGGGTCGAAACCAATGCCGAAGAGGTCAAGTCTGTAATCACTAACCATCCAGAATACGAGTGCAATATTCTAGCGACAATGCTGTTATTGTTATTGTTGCTGTTGGTATTGTTGCTGTTATTGTTGTCGGTGACAATATTGATGATGATGATGATGATGATGATGATGATGATGAAATGGCCGTGCAATGTGAACTGGGAAGAACCGGAATAAACAGGGAGTGGTAGAAGTGGGACACAACAAAGCTGACCTGACCTGACCTGACCTGACATGATCTGACTTTTGTTCCTGTTCTTTCCTTTCTTCCCCTCCCCTCCCATTCCTCTTTGTACTCAGGACCATGTATCCTCAATCCTGCCTGCGGCTACTGGTTAGGTTCGATAAGATGGGGCCTTCGGAATCGGCACAGCTCGTTAGTGCCTATTCGCAACTACTGGGCCTCAATCAATCTATTTACTACCTAGTCAATAATCAGTCATGTCCGTTCAACCACAGTCAGACCGCGATTAGTTTAGATTTTTGATTTTGGCGATTCATAGTGGTTGAGAGTTGTTGCATCATTCGTCTTCCTCGAGACTCCTCGTTCGTTCTGAATGTGACTTGTTCGCAAGTGCGGTCGCTGCTGCTGGTGCTGGTGCTGTTTGCTTTGCAATTCCTGGTTTTGATGGATGCTGCCTGCCTCGGGACTCTTTCTCTCATAACTGGTTATGAGAATCCCTGTGCACAATAAAGGGCTCAATGAGTGAATGAAGACCTAAAAAGCTCTCCCGTGCCGTCTGTGTTACCGAGCCAGAAGGATTCTATCCAGCAAAGCGAAGTGGAGGTTTGGGAATCGACTGAGATTCGTTCCGAGGCGGTCAGCCATCAAACAACTGCACGGGCAGCAGCCTTGTCGCCTGAGGTATGCTACCCAGTACGACTGTTGGCTTGAAATGGATAGACGATCAACCAAAAAAAAAAAAGAACGAAGAATAAACACGAGTAAATCACTATGCATCTACGAATAAAGAGAACTGAGACATTGAGAGACGGAAACAGAAAGCTTTGCCGATCGATCGAGAATCCCCTCGATTTGAGACGATCGCCCTGCGTGGAAGAAGTAATCATGAAGACCATCACCACCATATTAACAGCTGCTGGCTTCAGCCTAGATGAAGGGTGGCGGCGGCAAGCCAAACGCACCTTCCCCCTCGTCGCCAAGTTCTACGACGGTTCTGTGCAGATGAACAATTCAGCCTCTTCACCTGTGCCCGCGATTGACTGCCAATCATTGACTTCCATGCAGAGAGCCTCATATGGGTGGAGCCTCTTTTCGGTTTAGGCTGGCTGGGTCAGCCTCGTGGACGTGGCATTATTCTTCTCTTTTCTTCTTCTTGTTCCAAACGAGGGACCCGGAGGGAAGGAATGATATTCGAGAGTTGAACATCAATTTCTCTCGCAGATCTCGAATGTGATAAATTGCTTTCTTGTGTGTAAGGTTCATTCCAAGTAGGAGTCCACATTACCAGCAGATGTCAATACAATAGTAGTTAGGGTCTCCTCTCTCCCGGCAATTGTCACAGTCTCTCAGTCGTGGGGAGACTCACCCCACTTACCTCTGTTTGCCTGCTGCAGTGGCGCGTCTGGGAGTCAGCTTTCAGTCACTCCCTCAACGCTTCTTCAGGGCCTCCTCTTCTCCCATTCTGTTTTGACGCAGGTGGAGCCTCAATGCGAATTTGGGACAACCCCCGGGAAGGTTGATCATCGTGATTGTGATTCTCATGACTGGCAGTCAAACTTTGTTGCGCACACACACACACACACACACACACACACCATTTAAGTCAATGGGGGTGCCAGATAGAGAGAGAAAGGGGAAGAACGAGAGAAAAGAGGTCAGTCAACTCAGGATCAGCCAGCCAGCCCAGCCCAGCCAGCCCAGCCAGGCAGACAAATAGAAGAGGGTCATTACCAGTCAATAAATCGTAGTTGGGGAGGGGATAACACAATACGAGAGAAAAAGAAAAGGAAGACAGACGGGTTAGCTAACTTACTTACCACTCACTAAGACACTTCTAATCGCATTTTGGTCTTGTACATTATTCTTATTATTGCTGCTCCCTGCGTCACTAGGTAACTACTGACATACTATTTCTGTCCACCTTATGGTCATAGCTGATTGTTGTGATGTTGTGGTGGTGGTAGTTAAGTGGTGGTGGCTTTTGGCAGGACTAGATGCTACTAGTGTAGAAGCAAGAAACTTGTCCTGTCGTTTGTCTCTTTTGTTGTTTCTCCACCCCGTGTCTTTTTTCCAGACCGGGCTGGGTGTGGATCGACTTTCAGTCAGCGGCTTTACCTACGGTTCCTTCTCCTCTTCAATCCCACCCCGAGTACGGAGTATTGTACCACGGCTTGAACGGCCTCGACTTTTGAACTGAAGTGAAGTGAGGTAAGTTAAGGTAGTTGTTGACTGACTAGACTACCAGTTAACTCTCCGTCTCCGTCTTATGCCATTCCATCCCATCCCATCCTGTCCCTCATCTCCTTACCCCATTCCATTCCATCCACTCACCATCTAGTCTCAGCCATCCATCCATTCACCCGTTGTTGTGTGGGTTTTCTTCTTCCACTTCTGCTTCTTTACTCCTTCTTCACCTTATTCCCGTTCTTGCTTCTTTCTCTTCTGCTTCTAACCGGATCCTTCCTTTCGGTTCTGCCGTTTCCCACGCTGCGGTTGCTGCTTTTGTGCTCTTGACCGCTCCGGCCGTACCCTGAACCTTTTTTCCTTATTCTATCCTGTTTTATCTTATCCTATTTTATTTTATTTTCCTCTGCTTTTTTTTTCCTTTCCCCCTTTCCCTTTTCATTTTGATTTACCGTATTTCATTTATTTTTTATTTATCCAATTCTCACCTGCCAAGCGCGTCATAATCCCGCTGGCTCGAACTATCAGCTCTATCGGCCACTATCGTGTCTGGATTACTACCGGCCACCACTATTCTGACTTAATTACCTTAACTTTTGTGCTTCTTCGCTTTTGTTTGATTTTCTACATTCTTCTGGTCCTGATTTGCAGTACTCTTCTGCTCCTCTTCCTCATCTAGCTGCTGCCATTGCTTATGATCATCACTGCGACTACAACCACAATTACAACGGCTACTGCTATCACGACGAGTTCCGCCGTTGCCGTTGCTTACTCCTGGCGCCGTTAGACGATGATTTTCTCCTCATGACCTGATGCTCGCTTACTTGCACCTACTCCTCCTCCTCCGCCTCTTCCTCTTCCACCTTTCATCAGGCCAGAGTGACATCGTGACCTTTTCTCATCATTATCATCATCCCCCGCTCTTGCTTAACTGAACCAAAACGACCGCCTCTCGGGTTGTTAGACGATTCGGGTTCTCTCCAAAAGTCCACTTCCGCGGCTTCTCAACTCTTGTGCGGAAGATCGTTTGATTTATGCGCCCAGTGCAGTGCAGCCTTGTATTTTGGAGTGGATTTCGACGTGCGGTTGATTGACTTCCGCTTGAGCCTCATCGCTTGGTTCCTGAGGCTACCCGACTTGGGCTCTGTGACAGCAGCAGGTAAGCAAAATACTTGGCCGTTTTCTCCTCTTTGTCCTCCTCGTCCCACCATCCTCTATCACACAGCCAACAGAGAGAGGAAACCACAAAATTCTTATTTTTCCAGAGAAAGAAAGTGAGAGAACCTCGCTGTCATGTGAATCCAAACATTCCTCTCCTCTATATCACTGGCTTCCACTCTGGTCCTCTGGTCCTCTCTTCTTTTCTTGCTCTCTCCGTCTCTCAACTGGCTTCGCTTGATCTGCACCCCACATCCATCGCAACGGGTCCAAATAATGTGGTGTTCTCCCGAAGCGCTACAGATCGGATCTTGAATCATTGGTCCGATCCTCGCATGTTTCTTCTTCGATGACTTACCGGTCATCTCCATCTCATTCCTCCTCTCTTATCCGAATCATGCCCGGTTTCTGGCTCCAAAGGATAGCTACCGTAGATTGCTTGCCTCATCTTTCTTGTCAGCTGCATCTTTCGTGTCCTACACGCCATCTTGATAGGGCCTTACCCGCGCACATACTAATCAGATGACAGTGCATTTAAGCCCCACAACGCGACTCGTCTGTTGTGCTCGCGGGAGAGGTTAAAGACCTGATCCACTGCCTCCAGCGTGAGCTTGGATTGCTTTACGCGACACAAGGCACCAGAAGAAATATCGACAGACAGTAGGCTAGCGCACCTGATGCGCCTCAAACCACTGCCTTCATGACAGACTCATACGACCCAGATGAAATCCCTGGTTCCCCCGGGCTGAAGGCCACCCAGGTTGATTACTCACTCAAGGATTCGCCTCCACCCTTTGGGGAACCGCCGCCTGAGGGAGACATTGCTAAACCTGCTGTGGACGACGTGGCACCGTTTTCGGGCAGTTCCCGTAAGCGCCTGCCGGAATCTCCCAAGCCCAGAACACTCGAGGGCAACTCGGTGCTGATCAGACATCTAGAGCCTAATCGACCTGATATAGCCAATTTCGAATATCAACATGGCTTCACTCATGAGGCGGTAACTGATGAATCCTTTGACAAGCCTACTAGATTAAGGTCTAAACTGGACAATGCTTTGCTGCCAGAGCCATGCAAACCCACGGAAACAGACAGCTTGAAAGCTGCAGCCACAGCCAAACAAGCGCTCGACCTGGTATCTTTAGATATTAAGGAAGATCCTAGGGAGAATGCCCAGTTCGGATTGACGCCAAACGAACCTAGTCATTCCCCGGAGCAGTCGTCTCCTAAGCAGGAGCAACAGCACACGCCTCCCAGCAACAATAATATCTCATCACTACTATCGGATCCTGCGCCACGACAGGAAAGGAAGCTGTCTGACCCCGACTCCCGCTTGAGCAAACTACTTCTCGTCAACCCTTCGACATCTCCAGGCCAGGTTCTACCAGCGCTTCACTCTTCATCAACCGGGAATTCTGTCGATCATAGCCTCCCTTCCCTCCAAACTGCATTAGCGGCAGTCACGGATGTACCACCAAATCCCGCTGTGCGCATCAGTGGCTCGTCTTCTTATACCCTGCCTCCAGTACAAGCTTCCTCTCCAGTCTCAAGGACAGACTCTCTCTGGGATCACCAGCGCATGGGGCAGTTTGGCCCTCCCCCGCAGGTTCCGCCCAGCCCATATTCACATCTATCTCCTGCGAGCTCGAAGGAAATGTCAACCATGCCATCTCCTGCTTCACAGTCACCGTACTGGAGGATCAAAGAAATACCTTACCTGACCTCCCCATATGAGGTGGCACCCTCCACGGTCAAGAGTCCAGCGACAAGTTATCCGACCCCGACGGATCAGACACCTACAGGGTCCTGCGACCGATCGTTTAACCCCTCTGCGCAGGCTAATGGGCCTGTACCAGTTGGGACATATAAATGTCGTCATCCTGGGTGCACGGCACCTCCTTTTCAGACTCAATATCTACTCAAGTAAGCGTCTGCATGACCCCATTCGACTTGAAACCACAGACTCAACGGCTCCACAGTTCTCATGCGAACGTTCATTCCCAAGACCGTCCGCATTTTTGCCCCATAGAAGGCTGTCCTCGTGGACCAGGGGGCAAGGGCTTTAAACGGAAGAACGAGATGATCCGTCATGGTCTCGTCCACAATTCCCCCGGTTATGTCTGCCCTTTTTGTCCAGATCAACAGCATAAGTACCCTCGACCGGACAATCTTCAACGGTAGGATCCTTATCTACCAAGATTCAATATAACCGCGCAACTCACAATCTAAACAGACATGTCCGAGTCCATCATGTCGATAAGAATAAGGATGATCCGGCTCTCAGGCAGGTCCTGGCCCAGAGACCGGAAGGTAGCAACCGCGGTCGGCGCCGCCGCACCAACGCTCAATGAGCGACCTCCTCACGACCGTCGTGAGAACCCCTCTTCCCATAAGTGCAGATTTATTGTTCAGATGATATTGCATTAGCGACAGCGCCCGTGTTGATTCAGTCCTCGGGAAGGTGGCTTTCTCGAACATGATCCTGATGCTGATGAGTCATGCTGGGAATCACGCAGCCACTCTTACCCACCGCCCGCCACCCAATTCTCAATTGTCGTGTATACTGCACATGCATCATATGAGCTCGTCCCGTCTTCTTGATACTCTTCTTTTAGTGATACCAGATTTTCTTGGAGTTACTCTTGACTCTCTATCATCCATTGTTCTGCGCGACTTGTTCCATGCCACTCGCTCTGTTTCTTACCTTGCATATACTCCTTAGCCTCGTTTGTTGCTGAATACCTTGGCGAATTATGGTCCTTTGTACAAGATTTGACCTCATTGGCGTTCTTCGGGAAAGCTCGCTGATACCTTTCTTGACTCTTTCTATTCTCAATTCCTCTTCGGTTCCTCTGCTGCTCCCAATTTTCTCTTTGCGCCTTCCGCAACACCTTCTAGTCTTCTTCGTAAAAATATTCCCAGCATATACATATAGGAGCTCTGGCGTCGATTGAGGTTTCCATAAGCGACATCTTTCAAATGATCGGATTCTATCTTGACTAGTAGTATTGAGTGTGATCCTAGTAATAGCTGCAGAAGAGAAGCAGCAAAACCGGAAAAGAAGGTCCAAAAAGGGGGGTCGAGAAGTTTTTTGGTCTGGATTTTCTGTGTTGCTGTCTCGTTTCTTGAATTGCGTCAAATATTCCCCCATTTGCATTTTCAGGTATTTGCGCAACTAGCTAGCTAGCCTCGGCATGAAAGAAGGGAAAACCAAAAAAGCTTGTATCACAAGACGACATTCCAGAAGAAGAGAGAAAGAAAAGCAAAAGGCAGGAGACAGAGGACAGTCCACCGAAGGGAGAAAATATTCCGGCAAGATGTGATGTGTAAAAGTTTCTATGGGTATTGTAGACATATAAAGTGGGTAGTAGAAGGCTTGGTAGCGCAGCTGGGTAGAATACAAGTGACCAAATGGTTTCTATCCCACTCACTGGCCCGCAGTGAGTTTTAGGTGTGTTGAATAGGGTTGGTAGTAAGGACCAACGACGTTGGTATGGTTGTCTTTCTTTCCGGGGGGTAGTTTAAAGGTTCGAAGGGGTTCCTTCCATGTTTGATAAATAGGTGATGGGAAGGAGAAGGTATCATCAAAGTTAAGGGGTCTGCATTGCGCACTGGCGATGGAGTAGAGCTGCTCCTGTGTGAAATTCAATTGTTTGTTTTCTGGGTATGTTGTATGGTAGTGGTGTGCGGGCGTTGGTCTTGTCACGACAGGAGAAGATAATGTTGTTGTTGTGATGATGATGATGATGATGATGATGATGATGATGACGATGACGACGAGGAGGAGAATACCTGTCAGCCCACACACCATCTTCCTGTGAAGGAGGGTGAGACAAGGGAGGGGGGAGGGGGTAAGCCAAGTCCTGCAAGCCAGCCAGCCAGAAACCGGAACCACACGTCTTCCTTCCTCTTCGGTCATAGTCACGGGATGAGGCTGAAAAGAAAGGCCTCCACATTTCCTCAGCTGGGGGTACACGCCCTCACTACATACTTCGTATGTAATCATGTTTGTATGTCGCTGACTGGCTCCATTGTAGCATATTCGGACCCTCCACTTTCCACCCACCTCTCAAAAGTGTTTGTCCCCTGGGGGCGAGAAAAGCTTTTTGTTCCGGAAGTTGTATCGAAACGGGAAACTGCCCCGCCCCCTTCGTTAGATATGACGACTGAAGAAGAAGAAACAGGAGACATAGGGAGAGAATTCTCTCAAATGTCGCGCCTCTTATGGATCCTTCTCACATGATCCTTCATGTTATCCATTCGGCTGAACACCCGACGACACCCTTCCCACTCACATGGGATTTCGGGGTTATGTTTCGCTTCGTGTCGATCTCGGTCCTTCTTGCTGGAAAATCCACCCCGCACGGCCTGTGGACAACCCTCGTAGCGGCAGAACAGGTGCTTGCGATGTCGGTTGTAGTGTTTGCGCAGGTCGCAGCCACGACGGAAGAGGGCTTGTGAGGAGCACCCTGGATAGGCACAGCGCCATGTTCCGTCGGGGTTGGGAATGCCATAGTTCGTCAAATTTCGATGGACGTGGTGGTGATTGTGAGGGTACTGGGAGCGTGGTGGTGAGGAAGAAGAGGAGCATGGAATGGCGGCGGTGGCGTTCTCATCTACGAGGTGGTGGGGCTGTTTTGGGGGTTGTGATGGGGGCTCATCGAGGTCGAAGTCCAGCTCTAGGTCGAGGTCGAGGTCGAGGTCGAAGTCGCCCGTTGAGGTGGATATAGGGGTGAGTTGCTGTTGAGATAATGTTGGCTGGTGCTGATGGGGCGATGTGAGGTGATAGTCTGCTGCTGTGTGTGGTTCTGGGGTCGGTGTATGTGCCTGGAACTGGGTTGCTGTCGGCGTGGCCCAACTCCCCGGGCGCACAGAGTAAACTCGATTAGATGTGTTTGCCAGTGGATGTGATGACAGTGGTAAATTGGGCTGGGTGGATGATGTCAGGTTTTGGCTCAAGAATGAGGGTGTATAAGGCCCCTGCTGGAAGAAGACGGCCTCCATTCCTGGGTTTCTGCTGTGGGGTTGGTTGAGTGCATATTCCAGGTTTCCAGGCATCCCATGGACGGCTGACAGAGAAGCCTCGTGGAAAGCTGCCGCTGGAAAAAGGTGCGGCTGCATCTGCACTGACATGGCACTTGGGATGTACGAGCCTGGTGGTAGCAGCATCTGATTGTCCAACGATCTCTGTGAAATCATTGTGGAAGGCCCTGCACGAGCAGAAGCTCTATCGTAGATTGGCTTGTGCTAAGTATTCATTTTGTTAGACCACTTGCTTGAGTGATGGGATCTTTAACTTACAGTTGTATCCTCGTCCATGGAAACGTTCCTCTCTCAGCAACGAGTGTGTTCCATGCAGCAACAGAAGAACAATTAGTTACATCAGGGCAACAGTTCTGGTTAGTGCTTCTTCATCGTCTAGCTTCTTTCGAGTTGCGGCTGGAGGAAAGAGAAGGTCCATATAAACTACTGTCTTTCTAATGTTCTGTTCTCGAAGGAGTATCTCGAATGTCAGATGTGGCTATGCATATTTCGAGAGCTGACGGTCAATCCGGTTAGCTGAGCGGGAGTCATTCCGAATCTCTGCTTAATAAATTTCTTGAAGTTTGATACCACTGTGTCATTGGTTTCGTCGGACGTTGACGCTGTCAGCAGCTCTCGCACTAGCCTTGAAACTCGTGATTTAATATAGACCACATCTATGGGGTTGATGTATAATGGGGAGTTCTGCCAGGTGCATGATGTAATAGGTCATTCCACTGCGTTTGAAATCCAACATCGCAGCTGACTTCAAATTGCCGGCCGGTAATGTCCGTATGACATCTTCTGTTGGAATATACATAGTTGACTCCAATGACAAGAATTTCAAATATCGGCCAATGGCACCACAGACTAGGGGCTCGGACTATTGCTTTCTGGGCATTGTCTCATTTGTTCTTCCCAAAGCAAATCTTTCACTGCTTATGTAGGCATAACTATCGACCATCATGGCTCGAGATTGGCTACCTGATAGGGCTGAGGTGCATAATCATCGTGTGAGAAAAGCCACAGTGCGCGAATCAGGAGTATTCATATGCAGCTGGCGGAGTGAGGAATTCACTCTGTTGTTGAAGCATGGCTTGGGTCGACTCCGACCCAGTCAGGAAGTCCCAGTCGTTTGCTGACAAGATAGCTCGAGCTAGAATGTCAGCTCACAGACCCAGGACTATAGTTGCGCGGTAGTTGAGTATGCAGCACAATATGCATGCGGTATTCGCGTGTCGTGGGGAGCTCCCTGTCTAGGCAGAGGTCTCAGCCTCAGGGAGGGCCGCGGACTCACTAAGTCCCGCATAAAAATAGAGTCGAAAAAGAAAGTATGAGGGACAGGAGACAACGAGGATGTATCACAAACGAAAGACCAAAAAAGGGATAACAAGAATGCGACTTCGAGTCATGGTTCTGCACGATTTCTCTGGCCGTTGCAGGTGGGACGAGACCAACAAGCTGACGTGAATGGTTGACGGTATGCTTAGGCCCCCAACGCTTGCAAGGCTGGCACAACTCGACTACCAAAACGGGCAAGCAAGTGGGCGCTAATGGACATGGCTGAGATGCAGATCTCTTCTGCTTACCGCCAGATGGGCCATAAGCCTCAAGGAGGAAATCCCTGCTGCAGCATGGAAGTTCATGCCATGTTGCGCGATTCCGCAGCGTGACGATCCCCAGATTGGCGGGATTGTGGAAGGGAAGCCGCGCCAAAGGATTGCCGTCAGCACGGAAGGGCTGATAAAGAGCGGTGTCGGCACCCTCGCTACTGTGCATGGTACTGCGTCCACTGCGTCCACTGCGTCCACTGCATCCGACTCTCCCTTTTCCCCGGGCTGGCCCTGATCGGCCTGCAGATCTCGGCGGTTGGAGCGTATATGGGTCAAGGTCATGTTACATCCATATTATGGTTTGTGCCGTAACCTGGTGCAAGACATTATTCCAAAAATATATTCTATCAATCATGGAGCACCGGTGGTTGAGTCATCTCTGGACCACCTTCAGACGTCGAAAATGCTCTCAACCACCCATCTCAAACTTAAATGGCTTCTCCGTCATGTGTTTCGGCAGAGATTCTAGCGTCTCTAACATATTCCAAGAAATCCCGAGCTTCGGTTGGGATCTTATCGTTTCGCGAAAATTGAGGCACGACAAACAGACAGAGACAATTGCAACCAAGGTAAGCAGGGACCCGCCACCAAAAAAGCTCCAACAAAAAGCAAATCGCGATGTATCCGACTTGCGCATCCAATACGCTGACACCAGCTGCTCACGGCAGATCGTTGGCTTGCGACAAAAGCGGCGTTCTATCGTTTGCACCCTGTCCTTTATTCTTATCATCCTCTGCATCCTTGTAAAGGATGTAGTGCTGCACGATGAAAATGATGTCAAAGAAAATGGTCACGTTAGATAAAAGGAACTTAGCGGGGTTTCCGGTGATGCCGCTCCAATCACCTTGGAAACTCGAGTCCATTATCAGTTGCGCCAGAGACAATATACCGCCAGAGAAGTCGAAGAGAATCCCTTCAATACTCCAGCCATAGGTGGACTTGCGCTTATAGTTCACCCATGCCTGAGGTACGTATTTCACGATAGTAATGATCAGTTTCACATATGAGAGGGCGTAGATCTGATGGAATCAGTCATCAGTCCGGACTGGTTTTGTGATAGTACAGTTGCGATATTTCAGAGCACTCACAACATCGATCCATGCCCACGAGAAAGGATCGAGTCCCCCATTGGGACTCTTGGCAAGAACAATCACCACGACAGCGCCCACGCCGACGATCGAGCCCCAAAAAAGACCAGCGACCGGTTTGCTAACCCGTTGATACCGAGAGACCTTGAAGCCCCAGATAAAGGGCCAGAACTGGGAGTAATAGATGACGCTGAGAACGACAGCATGAATGGCGAAAGCGAAGTCATTAAAGCGCACCGTAGCGTCTTGTGCGAGAGGATGGCGGGCGGCATATTGTTCACGAATAATAGGAGACCAAAGGAACGCAGAAGTATAGATCGTATAGCAGACGAAACCTAGAACATTGATTGTAGGAAAGTCTATGGCTAGACCCGTGGTTGAGCGTCGCCGGAAGTTGTTGAGCGGTTGGGGATAGAATGACGCGGACCAGCAAAGCGTGCTATGCCAATCAATGAGCCACTGAAAAAGTTTCCGATATACCTCGACAGAAGAATTCTCCTGACGAGACTCCTAGGTGAGTGAGCGACATACTAGATCCAGCCCAGAAGGCTATGTTCACAGGGGTCAGTAGTGTTTTATCCAAGGACCGCTGGCTGGTCGTAGATAAGGAGAACACCTACCGAGAGAGAGCTCTGACAAATATCTCGAGTTGAGAAGTCATGGTTGGAATTTCGAGCACTTTAGATCACCATAGAAAGAGAGAGGAAGAGTTATAAGAAAAAGACCAGGTCAAAAGAAGGATGAATTAGATCCAGGAGATACACATATTGTCTTTGTTTCCAATCGAAGGGGGAGGGGGAGGGGGAGCGAAGGGCAGGGATCACTTGATCGCAGGCGGACGATAAGATGGATAAAGTGAGATAGATAACTAGCACGCGATCGATACAATGCGCAGGCGGTCCGTGCCGGCAGATGGTCGAGGACTGCTGAGTCAGCAATGGTTGTCTGGGATATGCGCTGGCGCACTAAACCCAAGAAGGAAAACAGTTGTTGCTGCTGTGCTGTGCTGTGCTTGTGCCTTGCGAGCCGCGATCGCATCGCATCCCCAGCCAGCCAGCCAGCCAGCCAGCCGTTACTTAGCGGTAAGTCCACTAAACAACCCAACCCTGCCTGCATCTCGATCAATTCCCCTCCGGCGGTTGACTAAACTTGTCCTCCCTTCCTGCGGCTCGCTGACGGCTACCCACCCCCTCCATTGTTTTCTCCTTTACATCCCTGGTTCTGGACCCGTCAATTGTTTCCGTCATTATCTCCTCTCTTCTTGACCACTCTATACTAAGCTCGGTTCCATCCTCCACTTCTCACCGCCAGCGCTTGTTGCAGAGAGTGAGCTGGACCGTCCATCGTCCCAAGTTTTTCCCCCGGAAACTCCAGAAGCTACGCGAGTTTCCTGAATAGCTTGTCAATCGGCCGGAGGACAGATCAGCGACTCAAGTCAATATCCAATCTTTCTCCGTCGGCGCATGGTGCATTCTTCGGAGTGGGGGATCTCAATAGATCTCCTTCGGTAGTTCCGACATTCCATAGCATCTAATCCCGCCGTCTGTTGCAGGAGCCACTCATCGATCTCGGCCTGACATCACCGGAGGACAAACCCATTGACAATCATGGCGGCTGATTCGGGGCTCACGGCTCCCGGGAGCAGTACGTACTCCTCGAATACGTTACATGTTGGTGATGGGACATGGGACTCGGAGCGCGACACATTCCTGCTGCCCAACTTGATGGGGATCAACTTCGACACGATGCGATACAATGGTAGGTGCAATCCATACATGTCTCCACATCTGCTAAAATCTCGCTTATCATGGGCGCTAGGAATGGGGAACCGATTCAAAGATATGCCCGAATACCATACGCTGATCATTGTTCACGGTGTCATCGCCACTATCGTGTTTCTCGGTCTTGTCCCCATCTCGGTCTTGATTGTTCGATATTATTCGCGATGGAACCCATACTGGGCGTTCAAGTTGCACGTCTGGTGCCAGGTTCTGACCGTGATGCTGAGCACTGTTGTGTTCGTATTTGGCTGGTTTGCTGTAGGCCCCCGACGGAGTTTGACGAATCCTCATCACGGAATTGGCCTAGCGATCTACGTCTTGGTGTGTTTTCAGGTGTTATGGGGCTGGCTTGTTCACAAATTCGAAAGAAATAAGAGGCGCTTTCATGTGCCGCTAAAGCTTGTCGTAAGTAGACCAAGCAGTGACATCTCCGATGGTCTACATGAGGGCTAATCGATTGCCAGATACATCGGTGGATTGGCCGCGCTTTGACAATCTTGGGAATTGTGCAAATACCACTAGGTCTTACTCTCTACGGCTCACCCAAAGTGCTTTTTATTCTATATGCGATCGCCGCCTTCGCACTTCTGGCAACATGGTTTGTGTTATCCTACCTGTACGATACTGAGGGCTATCACATGGAGGGGGATTATGAAGCTCGTCGTAGCTACGTGTCCGGCCCTCCTGGTCCTGAAGGACATCCCCCCGGTGGTCTCGGTCCTATGGCAGGCGCAGGAGCAGTAGGCTCTGGGTTGGGCTCACTCTTCAGAAGACGCTCGCGAGGTAAAGACCATGAGTATGATGATCCGCACCCGGGTTATCCAGAAGAGAAATTTTCCGATGGGGGCAGGCGCCGAGGACGGTGGGAGGACACGATGCTCAAGCTGGGGGCTATTGGCGGGGGTGCATGGCTTGTGAAGAAGTTTCTCGACCGAAGGCGCGATCGGGATGATGATACGGAGTCTGGTCGTTATAGCCGGGCTCATGGACGCAGCGACAGTATAACAGAGGAAAGCCTAAGTCGGGTGGAGCCAACGCAGCGCACGCCTCTCAATCGGCCCCCGAGTCGGCCTCCAAGCCGACCACCGAGCCGACCAGCTAGTCGCGCTCAAAGCCCAGGGTCATCGTATTACTACGACAGCACCTACCTGTCATCCGAACCTGCACGCAGACCGTCACACACGCTTCGAAATGCTGTTCTAGGAGCAGGAGCCTTTGCTGCATTAAAGGGTCTGTTCTCCCGTCGCAAAGCAAATGATGAACAGCGCCGAGTAGAGGACTTGCGTCGCCGCGAGATGGAAGATGAAAAGTTAGCTCGCGCCAATAGTGGGCGACGGTACACTGGAGACGGCTATTACCCGCGACGAGGTCCAGAGTCGTTCACTGCCACTGATATCTCGACGGAGTTGACACATCCACCACACCGCCCACCACATCATGGGGAATCTGTTATCTCTGCTGTGCCTATGGCGTCTGGGGCGGTTGATGGCGCGCGCTCAGACCTGCCGCCGGCATCAGCTCCTCCGGTCCCGCACGATCTGCTCTCAGAAGCTCCACCCCCTCCTCGACACGATTCGGGCGACTTGGCAGCTGGTGTAGCAACGGGGGCGACTCTAGGTGCTGCTGCCTCCTCGGGCCACCGGCATCGCAGCAGAAGCCGGCACCGCGATGACCATGTCGACTCACCCCCTGTATCCGTCAAAGTGAAGATGCACAACGATGGCCGCCACGTCACGCTAAGGAGATTGACCGACGAAGAAGCTGCCGCGAGCCGGGAGGCAAGGCGCCGGGAAAGAAGAAACTCGCGCCGCCGAGCCGGCAGTGCAAGCTCCTTATCCGGCAATGAAGGGGGCAACTACGACCGCTGGCGTCGGGTCGAGGAGCTGGAACGTCAACAGCAGGCGCAGATGCACCGAGAGCAAGCCGCAGCGGCGGCGGCGGCTGGGGTTGGAGCATCTGCGGCCCCCTCATCTAGCATCCCCGCGACATACTATGCGCCTCCGCCGAACATGAGCAACTTGCCTCCTCCGCCTCCGCCCCCTGTACCCTCCAGCCATCCCTACGGCGCAGCCAGTATCACATCACCCGGAACGGGAACATTCACCGGGACCGAGGCCAGTGAATACGCGAGCAATCGACGTCGTAGACGTGCGGAACGAGCTCGTGCACGTCAAGAGAGACAGCAAGGCGTTGAATTCACCTGAAAAAAAAGACATATTGCGTTCTCACTTCTTATCTTTCCTTTTTTTTGTATAGCAACGATATGATACTGACGATCTTATGTGGTAGGATTATATCTCTGTTTGTCGATTTTAGTACCTCTTTTTGTTGACGTGTTGATGTTGATGTGATGTTGATGTGATGTTGATGTGATGTTGATGTGATGTTGACGTTGATGATTTGGTGTATATGAATTGTTTGTGTGCGAAGTACCCCCCAACTCCATCCGGTTTACCTTGGCGGGTGCTGTTGCTTTTGTGATTACAGTAATCAATGCATGTGATGTGGTCAGAGGAGGTGCCTAGCCCTGGTTGGAGTAAGCAAGCAGAAAAACGGGTCTTTTTATAACGATAGATCCCTTCCTGGAGATTCTTCTGGTTGTCAATACGCACATAACAGTAGCGTTGCTTGGTGGGTGATTACAGTCACCCCTCGGGCGAGCAAGTCGGTCAATTGGCACTAGCTAGCTGCCGGGACATCAAAAGAATCAGTAAGCCTGCCGGTACAGTACAATCGAGACCAAAGACTCAATTACAGGTAGAGCTCGCAGAGGACCGACCGTCAATCGATATCAAGATTCATCATCTAGGCGTGTCAGTTGACTGCGAAAGTCACTCAGCAGGCGGAATGGGGAAGCTTCTCTTGTAGAGATCGTCGTCATAACGATGGTAGTATGATAGATCTAGTCCCATCGTGAAGGAAATGGGATTGGGTCAGGGTCGATCTCTTTAAAACAACCAGGAGAATGAATAGACGAGACAAAGGGCCTAATGGAATTCATCGAGATTGGGCATCGCAAAAAGGGGAACGAACATCAATGTCTCCGAGTCGGCGGAGAAGTTAGAAAGCACTACCTTACCTTATCTGCCTTTGAGAACACTTAGCCAACTATCAATTCTCGCTAGCGATCTTCCTATGGCATTTCGTTATCGATTCGTGATGAGCTTAACTTGCTTGCTCGTTTCGTCCGTCGGAGTTCAATCTTGTCGGGACTGCAGCTCGCTCGTTCTAAGGTGACTGCAGGTGAATACTAAAGGAAAGGTTTATGCATTGAGCTATAGATTGTTCAACGAGATGAAAGATGCATGTGATAATCGGAATCTGCTATTGTTTTCTCGGTTAGACTTCCCAATGACGACTAGGTAGCTCTCGACATAAAGTCTATCCGTCGGCAGCCTTGTCTCGATCTCTGATGGTCATAGGTTCAACAGTTATGAATCAACTATGTAACAATCTCACAATAGGATAATAATAAAATCCTCGCTCTCGTTCTCATTGCCCTTTTTCACTGAGACCCTCGTTGTGATCAAACCTTTCTGCTTGACTCAGCCGATCGACCAAATGCCCCTCTTTCACACCACTGTATCTCTCAGACGCGGTCAGCTCTGAATGATTACATTGACACCAATCTTTTCCAAGAGAAAAGTAAGAGATACTGCAGTGAAATGCAGAAGGAGGTGGAGCAATCCAATCACTGCACATGGGGCTGCAGAGCCTATGATCTGGAGGAAAGCGGCATTGAGGAAAGACACAATCCGCAGAAATAGAAGTGGAACAATGACGTCAACCCTAACAAGATGTGCCGTGGACCTGTACGGAGAAACGAAAATATCTTTTAGACCGTCGCGGCTCTTAGCATAGGTCTGCGCAATCGGCCAAGTGACGTGCACATGGAACGAGCATGACATTGATTGAGATAGCAAGTGCCGCTCAGATCGCTGCCCAATTAACAAGCTGACAATAGCACAATCGTTTTCCTTGGTTGGTAGCCAGATCGCTCGGAAAGGCTTGCGGATGTACGTCTCCAGCAAATCACCGATTGAACGCCGTCCATGTGGCAGGGTTTGACGGTGGCCGTCAAAGGCAGGGAGCCGGATATTGTTACTTGCTGCGCTGTCTGGTAATCCGAGGTTGTGACGGAAGAGTGTCTCATCGACAATCGGACACGGTGCCGGCAATGGCACTTTCGGGCTCTCTTTCACAACGTAGGTTGTCGTCTCTGGACATGGTATTATTAGACGCGGAAGGGCATGCGATGATGGGGAACTCTGATTAGTCCAGGGTTTCTTTATTCGCGTTATTGAGTCATGTCCCTGATATCGTCCCATCGATAGGTTGAAAAGACGCAAAGGAGCCCTTATACCCTGCCGCGGTGCTAGCATCTGAGGATCGGTGCCAAGGGACTTCCTTTTCTGGCGCGTCGTTCCGGGATCAGCCACGGATGAGTGAACATGTTCGGATACAGTGAAAGTAGGGACTTCGAACTCAGAGAGGGAAGCCGGCTTTGGTGGCTTGGGGGGCTTCTGAGAGAGCTCGCGATCGAGACTTTCCGTACGACTCGGTTCAGTAAGGACGTCATGTATCGCGCTCACGGTGGGCTCGTTCAAAGTCAATTTGGTCGGAGATGATCGGCTTTCGAGATCGCATAGTTCATTCTCCTTTGTAGACCCGGGGATTGAGATTGATGAGCTACGTTGAATTTCAGGCTCAATCCCTATGTCCTTTGTATTGTATGTCATGACTGAGGGGTTGTTGTCAACGTCCATGGGGAATATCTGGAATATATCGGTATCACGAGAATCATTCCTCTGCAAAGCTGGGGGCACCTTGAGATTTTCCAGCCCGCTGGAAGCGACTCGGTCGGGGGAAGACTGGGGGGATTCCATAGACATCAGGTCGGAAACAAGCGGCAGGATGTTGGGTTGTTTGTGGTCGCCAAGCTCAGGTTCGTAGACCAGGGAGCTTGAGCCAGGCAATACTGACTGCTGGGCCATTGTCAGCAAATATCTGTTGCAGTCTGCGCACTCAGAATTAGCACGAAACTAGACAGAGGGGAAGCAGCAGAATGCACGGAAGGAGGTTCGAGGGGGTGCTTCAGGAGACTCGGACTGGAATCCAACAACCAAACTGGGAAGGAGCGGCCGTATAACTGAGGAGTTCAAGAAAGTCTTAGTTAGCAATATTCCTCAGTGGAACCAATGCCACACAAGCCTTCAGTGGGCTTTTGTCTTCATTTCATGCAAAACAACATTTCAAGAGAATTGGCTTAATTCTACAAGGTCAGGTTGAAGATCGCGACTGGATATGTACATCAGGTATCTATTTAAGGTGGGCTTGGAGGGTCTCGAGAACCTGGTCATGGCGTTAGCAGACAAACTCGTAGTATAACGAAGCGGACTCGACCTCACCTCAAGCTCGATCTTAGCCTCGGCAATATCCTGCTCGCTGCCGCTGCCGCTGGCAATCTTCTGGGCCTCGGCGATCTGGGAGCGGACAGCCTGAAGTAGACGAATGACTACATTAGTTATCTGGCGACGCGACATAACAAGGTGGGACACCTACCTCAGCGCTGAAGTCCTCAAGGGGGTAACCCTCGACGGCGTTGATGCTCAACTGGGAGTCAGGCTGCACAACGGCGAAGCCACCAGAAACTATACAAGAGGACTACGTCAGCCAGGCTCTAAGCCAAGTAGCAACTGCGATCCAAGCAATGTCTGTGTGAAATGGAAGTAAAGCCGGGTCTCGATGGAAAAGGGCCGACGTACGGAAGAACTTCTTGCTGGCACCACCCTCCTCAACAACCTCGACGAGACCGGGCTTAAGCTGCTCGATGGAGGGGACGTGGTTGGCGAGGACACCCATCTCTCCGGACTCAGCAGGGATGTTGACCTGGACACTGGATGGAAAAAGACTCGTAAGTACGGGGCGGTCAATGTTGAAAGAGTTTCGTCCAATTGCTCGGTCGATACGGGAGTCAAGGAACCACATACACGCCAGTGGACTTGAAGATAGTCTGTTTGAGAACAAATTTGTCAGTCACTGAACATTATGGCGGACGCAGCGGTTGCATAACAGAGTCGGAATCGTACCTGGTGAGGCAGGGTCAAGGAAAGCTTGATCTTGTCGTTAACAGCCTCGGCGTAACCTCTGCGCTGAAGAGGAACGCGAAAAGCAGAGGGACGAGCCCTGAGAGCAGAGCGAGCGAAGCGGAGAGAGCTCATCTTGCAATGGACGAAATGGAGGTGGTGGTGGTGATATCCCTCTTGAACCTGGGTTGAGAGTTGCAAAGGTCGAAGTCGGATGCCGGTTGTTCCCTAGCGGCTCTTCCGGTCACGTGGGGGCCCGCGCGACAACACCGCCAACGAACCCGACGATTTGACCAAGTACGTATTGGGGACTGACTATGGGGCACGGTATCTAGCCTCTACGCCGTCATCGGATTTGTTCAAGAACTGCAACGGAAGGCTTATACTCTGTAGATATTGCTCAATTCCAATCTAACTCACAAGGATCAGCACGACGTGTGTTCTGTTATGCGCTGCCTTTCACAAACTGGGACCATGAGTCAAAGAGGAGCGCCAGCAAATCCCCAGTTGCGATGGCGCAAATGAGCCCTCTTACTGACTCTGTTCTGGCAAGGCGGGTATCCTACTATGCATGTGCATGTCTAAATTTAAGATCGTCCATGTAGCCTTCAACATGAGCGCAGGCCTGATTGCATACTTCGAGATTCATAATACTTTATCGTCAAGTGATATGGTGTTTGGCCTTGGCTCGGCTATCATGACAATGTTTCTATAGCAGCTCAGGTCAGGCAGCGGTATCAGGCATCGCGAAGTAGTCGACCACCATTGCTTATGTCCCGCAACTCAGTTAGAGAGCAGCAACCTCACATCAATAATGTTTGGGATTCAAACCAACAGGGTGTTAACAACGGATGCGCCGATTCATGTCACAAGATAACATTAGTCATCGGTTGCGGGTTCTTATGCCTCAGGCCCAAACAACATACTTCGAGGGTCCATGAACGTCTAACCCAGCCTCTAGTTCTAACGGATCTGACACAGAAGATGGAAAGACGTCAGGATTGAGTGTAATAAGTAACATAAATAGCACTAATGTTGTTCCCCTCCACACGGTTGTACGGGGAGTTTAGGGGGGAAGGCAAGCAGTAGAAGCAGCAGCAAGTGAAGTGATAGCTGAGGCGGACACGCTAGCCGTGCTCGGTAAGCGAAATCCCACACTGAAAACCAGCCCTAGCCGAACCTGCCTTGGGGACTCTGGCCTTCCGCTCAGTTCAGGATAACCTCACCCGCCAACTCCTCGTCAACCGTCTCCTAGTTGCGACAAATCCGACAAGATGGCGAGTATGTACACCCCTGCTATATGAATTTTTGTCCCGGGAAAAAAAAAGACGAAGAGATCAACCCGTCCCAAATATCAGCATCCCTCCCCTGGGACTGTTCGCCATGTTTCTACAGGTCCATTCGGCAACCGTGATCAGTTCACTGACATGATTCTCCCACACAGAGTCCAAGAACGCGTCTCAGCACCACAACAGCCAGAAGGCTCACCGTAACGGGTGCGTACCCTCGAATCCCCATCGAACCAAGTCCTGAAAGAACCACACGAATGTACGATTGGAATGGAGCGGGGATGGTCGCTATGTTGGATTACGGCGCGATTGTGGAAGGAACCTCTCAACCATCGTTGTTTCATCCAACACGACAACAGCGCCTTCACCGCCGCCATTACCATGAGACACAACACCGGAAACACATGAATGCAGAAAATCGCTGACCTTGTCGATCTTCCGCTCCACAGTATCAAGAAGCCCAAGACCAACCGTTACCCCTCCCTCAAGGGTGTTGACCCCAAGTTCCGCCGCAACCACAGACACGCTCTTCACGGTACCGCCAAGGCTCTGGTACGTTGACCCAGCGAGTCCCTCGATCTCCTCACATTCGCTACCCTCCATCGACCCTCCCGACCTTCGATCGCGAGAAGAACGATCTGGCTAACAACTCGAACAGAAGGAGCGCAAGGAGGGCAAGCGCGAGGTCGCATAAATCAACTAATATAGAAACGTTTTAAAAAGAAATGAAAGCGATTTGAGTTGGTTGATCTTTCTTTTGCCAAAACGCCCCCGCGCACCATGAGTGGGATCGTCTTGTCTTGTCGGATTTAGCCCAGACTGGTCCTCACCCCACCCGGCTACATGTTTTCGCAAACGGTTGTCACATAGGAAAGGAAATTGACTGGTTTCTGCGGGTATACTTGGAAGAGCGAGTCGTGCTCTTCTGCTATTTTTCTTTTCCGTCCTTGCCCGCGTCGTGGTGAGTGACGGGTTTCCCCCACAAATTCGGTTCGGGTCTATTTGCAGACCGGAGTCGGAGATCAGGCATATGTGTGTACAGCTTCGTGCTTATTTTTCCATGCGCGCTTGCTGAAGGATTATTTTAACGTGCCGAGAGAAGATCCCATGCCCTCCTGACTTCCAATCACCCTTGGCCTTTTGCTCTCCGTGGGCCAAGGGTGCATGGACGGAGGGCTACATCCCCAGTAGACTGATGTAGAGCTATAATTAGTCAATATGTTGAATCTGTTACATGATGTTTATCTATTCATTTATACATCCTCACATGATACGCGCCAATTGGATGCTCCACAAACATAAATGCCCCCCGACTGTATACTATATCTTCCAGACCACGAGCCTCTTATCAAACCCTCCACTAACCAGCCATTCCTCCTTCAGAGCTCTGCCATCGGAGCCTAAACGCTCAACCCAGCCGGCCCAGATGGCTCTAATCTTACACCCAGCCTCATGGCCATTCTTCAAGACAGTAACAACCCTACCGGACTTGGCCTCGAGTCCGCGAATAGCCCCATCATCGCCATTGACCCAGACTCCCGAGCCATCCGGCCGCCACACCACCTGCGGGGTCGAGTATGCCGTCTGCGGCGCGAAAGTGTTGGCCTGAACCATGATGGCAGCATCCTCTCGATTCTGAAGCGACAGCGCCGCAAGCGCCTGCGCAGCCTGCGTTACCGGCTCCCTCGCACCCACGCCATCACCACCGTCATCCTCGCCGTTCCCGCCCAGCGTCTCCTGCGACGGAAACAGCAGCCGCACAATCATGACCTTCATGTGCGGGAGCGTGGACGTTGCAACCGCAAGTAGGCCCGCGTCATGGGGGCTGAGGGCCATGCACGAGGGGGAGAACGCCACCCAGGCGTTCGAGTGCGGGGCCAGGTTCTGTCTCCCGAGCAGGACACACTCGGCCTGTTGCTGCTGCTGAGAGTGGGTTGTTTCTGTAGCGGTGGGTGCTGCCCGTGACCCTTCTACACGGTAGTAGTAGAGGTACGTCGAGTCCCGTCTGGAGACGAGGAGAAGAAGTTCCTTCGTGTCGACGTGACGGACGAAGAGGATGGATTCCGGGTTCGTTTGCAGAGAGATCTGCGCCACGGGCTCGCCGATGGATACTGGGGTGTGCTCGTCGACTGCTGCAAGGCTGCTGTGGCTGCTGTGGCCGCCGCTGAGCTGATAGATGAAGACCTTCGAGTCCCAGCCCGCGGTTGCAACCCATACGGTGTTGTCGTCCGCCTCGTGCGCGACCACCTTGATCGCGTATTTGGCATGGTCTTTCCGGCGCTCGACGATGCTGGCTCCGCGCTGGAGAAGGAGTTGGCCGGACATGTTGGTCAGGAGCAGGAACTGGCCTCCTCGAATCGGCGTGTAGGACAAGATCGGCGACTCCGACGTGCCGGAGAAGGACCGCAGGATGTCGTTGCCGGCGGAGGCTTGGAACACATGGAGCTGTTTGTCTGCTCCGGTGGCCACCAGGATGGGTCCGTCGGACTGCCCTTCCTTGTCGTCATGTTGCCAGTGCTCCACAGAGCAGGATAGCAGATTGGATGCGGTTGGCGTCTGGATGATCGTAGGGTTGGCCGGGGCTTTATATACCATGCATTAGTGATTCTGTTCGCTTGACTCCGGCGGTTTAAGATGAGGGTGACATATACCAGGCACACTCCAGAAATCCATCTCCTGGTCGCCCTCGCTGTATCGCTCAAAGCTCACGCTCTTATCAAACGCTCGTTTCTCATCGAGCACGCTCTCGATGGTCCAGGAGTCCTGCTCGTCCTTTCCGCGGATTTGTCCCGCATTGGCTGGCAATCCCGCTTCGCGGAGGAAGGCATCAAGGGTCTCTGTGTAATTGTGTGCGCGCAGAAAGCGAGCCACAAGGTCGCTCGCCAGTGATGAATTTTGCGCTTCCAAAGGCATTGTTTTTTTTGTTATGTTTGTGAGATGTGGGGATAGGTCAAGCAGTGGGGGTGGGGGGCTGGAAATATATTTCTGACATAAGTCCGCTCCAGCGGCTAGACCCTTCTCCAACAACCATCGAACTCCGCATCGGTTTGAACGTCTTTGTGCTTTTACGAGTTGGAAGGGTTGAAGAAGTCATATCATCAGTAGCCTATTTATATCTCAGAGAAAAGTATAAGATCGAGCTTCCAAAGATGGGATTTGTCATTGTGAGGGAATTGCGAATCGCGAAACACCATCCCAAGGCATCATGCTAGAGACTAAATGATAAGAATACTACAAAACGAAAATGCAAAGAAAAGCCTTTCCTTCCAGGGGTATTTTCTAACATAGAATGCAGAATGCCTCAGCTGAACATGTCCTCCGCTCTCCGTCGAGGACCTCCCCGCCCTTCGATCTTCTCCGAAAACAACTCCTTGCCGGCATTGGAATTGAACTTGGACGGAAAAAGCTCTCGAACAGACGCTCCCCGTCCCTTGATTGAGATACCGCTTGCTGCACCACGAATAGATATCCCTTGATCATCCCGACCTTGACCTGCAGCCCCACGGATGTTGAGTCCGCTCGAATCTGAGTCGCTAGGGAAAAGCTCAATGTTCTTGTTCTTTCGTTGTGGCTGTATGTCCTGTGCGCCATCGACGAACGGTACAGAAATCCGCCGAGCGAAAAGATCGGCTGTCTCATCCGCAGCATCGATCGCATCGGATCGGCGATGGTTGCTGTGCTTGCTGGGGAAGAGTTCTTTGACCGTCTTGTGGGGGAAAAGCTCGCGCGTGTTCGAGTCGCTGTCACCGGCCTTGGAGGATGGGAAGAGCTCCCGGCCTTCATTGCGACGACTGGGCGGGGGCGAGCGCTCACGAAACTGCCGGCGGGAACTGGGACGATCTGTGTCGACGTATCCCCCTTCCATCAATGTATCACGACCCGGTGAAGCACTGCGGTTGCGTAGACGACCCGAAGAGCCTCCTTCATCCTCGGGAAACAAATCCCTTGGTCCTCGCCTGCCACGTCCGCGAGATGGTTCGGAGCGGTCGGCGCTCGCTGCCCGCGTGTCGTCATACATGTTGGCGCTGAAATTGTCGTCAGCGTCGCGGTCCCTCCGCCGCCGCAGTTCCCGACCATCGAATCTCCTTCGTCTGTAGTCGCCATCGCCGCTGTCGCCACCGCCGTGCTGACGTCTGTCCGCAAATTCGCGTCGGAGGCGCTCCCTGGGGTCATGCTCAGGATGCATGAGATAGAACCGACTGGCTTCGTGCGCGCGTGGCTTCTTCCGATCCGTTATGACGGCTGATCTGACCTGGAGCACGGAATCAGGGTGCGAGGCGAGGAGCTTGGCCGACCGTAGACGCAGAGCGGGGTACTGAGTCACATCCTCCTCTTCATTAGGTTGTGTAAGTGCCGCCAATGCCTGGAGGCCGACCTCTGGCGATGAGTACAAAAGGTTCGCGGAGGTGTCATCGATCCATTCGACACGGCTTGGTTCCTCAATAGAGAAGTTCTCACTTGCGAATCGCTTGATATCGTCGGTTGTCAATTCGTCCACACCGCGTATGTGAACCTTCTCGTACTGTGTGTCTGAAGAAAGTGCATCGACGGCTACGTTGGTGGTAGCTGTTGCGGCTGTTGGGTCCTGGCAACACGAAAGAGTGTTAGGCAGGGTGGCATTCACAATGGCTACTACTTGACGAGCGCGACTTGACTTACGATATCGATGTGCTCATCTTCGGGGAGAGGCCCGAGATCAATGTCCATATCAATGTCCATGGAGGCCATGATGGTTTCGGAGGTGAATGTGCTGCTGGAGACAAACTTCGGCGGAAGCGCGAGAAGGGTTGTTGCGCAATGGCGATCTTCAGCGAGGGGGAAACTGAACAATGACAGACGTGCAACAGGATCTGTATGGGTTGAGAAAATAACAGGTGCTTCAATAAGTTGCAATAAGCAACTCAGGGGTCATAAACTGGAACGAAGACGGGCAGACAGGAAACTCCACTGGTCGCAAACTGAGGCCGACATGAAGTCTACCTCCACACCGCCCGGAGGTTCCGTCGGCGGAGCTCCACCGAAGCCATCCTCGATTCTATACATGTCTTTCATCTCTTTCATTTGTCTTTCACTTTCACTTTAATCACGGCAGCTTACTTCTTCATTAACTACTACCTATCATGCTTTTCTAGACCTGCCAGACAACACTTCTCTGATTTAGACCTCGGGTTAGCTCATTGAGCTTGGATCTCCCATGTGTTCTAGATTCAGTATAAGACATACTACCAACGCCACCGGCCTTAAACGATATTGAATGGTTGAATTGTTGTTCAGGATGAATGAATTCTGGCCATACCCTCAGAGCAGTACATGCTATAGACCTACTTCTCAGAATGACTACATATTCGCTGCAGTCTCAGGATGCTGAAAGGCAATATTACCGACTGTTCAATTGACTCCTTTCACACGATAATGACTAACCTACTGATCGACGCTCCTTTCCAAGTGAGACATCATACCACCAGCGTCTGATGAGACAGGGTACAGCCATCGTACAAATGTTATTTGCCTTGAGCATGGCCCAGAACAAGGTCAACTACTGGTCTTCACACCTTCAGCGGCCATCATTCCACCCAGGATCACAGACTGTGCTTCCTATAATTCACGCTGTGTCTCAAGACTCCTAGCCCAGGTATATACTATTCAGGGATCAACGGAAGACGAGATTCTTGGTAGTCATCAAGGATCCATGGCCTTCCCCGCTTCTCGTCTGTCTTCAGTACGGCTTGACACATTTAGGCTATTTCCCCTTTTATCAAGCCAATCGGCATCTTACACGGATCAATATGGATTCATCGCCTAGCTCGCCCTGCAGTATTCGACTCCAGAGGGTCTCCACTACAGGAAGGTTTTCATCCAGCAACAATGAAACAGTCATCGATATACCAATGACCACCCTGGTGACACCGAATGCAACAGTGCGGCCACCACGGAATGCGTTGTGCTAGCTTTTCAATTGGGCCATGCCTGCGAGCACGAAGTCAGTCCAGTCACCGGCTATTATGAGGGGCTTGCAGCTATAAAAGCGAAAGGCTCAAGTCTGCCACCCCGCTACTGAAATATCAAACGATACTCCATAGTTGCTTAAGGGAATCCTCCTATTTCTGCTGCTCTTTTGTCCAGCGAAGTCTGCCCAGGTAGCGTTGAAAATACGACACGATGCTCTACGCAGAAGGCAACAAACTT